GGGCTTTACAGGTGCCTTGCCCTGCCTTGTATACCATCTGCTGCTTATGGAAACTCAAGACTTGCCAAAGAAAGGCTGACTCTGTGTTTTCAATATTTAATGCTCATTGGAAATGACAGTTCAGCATTAGCTGCTACCCCAGTGAGATCAAGCTAAATCCCACCCACAGTACTGGGTGTTCATAACCTACTGCAGAAATAAACAGTAAGTATGGAAAGCCTAGAGGCAAATTGTAGAACAGGAGTGTAACTCCTGGACGTCCTTTCAACATACTGGTGTTATTTATTTTCCTACAGACTGCCACTACTTTAATCCTTTTGGTTTTAACTCTTACAGGTTAAGGAAAAAAAAATCTGTGTGAAGTAGCAGCCATCAAAATAACTGAACAATCAGATCAGATTGCTTAGAAACTTCCCATGTTGCAGGGCCAGGTTCCCATTCAGTTTTGTGCCACACTTTATTACTAGCTATGGTCAAAGTTCTTGGCTGACTTATCTGCTTTCTTTCTGCCACCAGGGAATAGGGGCAGAGGCATTAACACCACCCACCTCATACACTGCACTAAGGTATGACTTAATTTAAGAGAACCTAAATTTAAGAGCATTGGTTCTCTCTGAAGTGAATGGAGACAGGCAGATACCTAAGGTTGGATGACTAAATTTAGAATGTGTGAATGCCGCTTTCCCCTTCTCTCTTCCTTTTTCTTCTCTCTGATGTGTTAGTCCTTTTCTCTCCAGCAGTTAAAGGTCAGCTGAGACTCAACGTCCAGCTGAGCTGCTCATTCCCTTTTGCATTTTGTAGAGTCCAGATTCTCCCAGAGTTAGGTAGAGAAAAATAGGACATGCAGGTTCAACACCAAGCTTCATAGGACCATTATTTCCCCCCCCACCCCAAAACCACAACCGCTGCGTCACTTCTAAACTACTCACCATGACTGAAGAGTGAAGACTCAAGTCAATCTTCTATGTGTTTTGTGGACACATCCTTTCAGGCCCCAGATGTATCTCCTGTATGTACCATGCTCTTTGCTCCCTGCACTGCTCTTTAAAGACAGGGTAGATGTAACTTTCCAGTGCTGGGGTTAGACAGAAGCACAGCTGTGTTGGTTATGCTGCTCTAAATTTACTAAGGCACTTCTTTGTTCTGACAGTTTTCAATGAAATAAATCAAGCTTTCTTCTGCTTGTATTGATGGGGAATGTTGCATTACCATATATAAGCATAACGTGATTTGCAAACTTTACAAAGATGCAGGGTAACCTCTTTGAATACATGATAATTTACAGGTTACATTATGACTTGCTCACTTTCCTGAAATAGTGACTATCAAACAAACCACTCTGAAACCCCTTCTTCCTTCCAAAACACATGAAAAATCAGCAAGCTTGGTCAATGGGCACAAAGAATTGAACAGCAGCAATGAAGGGGTGCTAGGAAATTATTACACTGACAGTATTTACAGGACTGTGAACTGAACTCTGGTGTGAAAATAGACACAAAACCTTTTCCTCCATCCTCTCTGGCCAGCACAAAGACTCCTTTGAATAACTTTGAACAGTTTGATTTTCTCTGTATATGTGGTTTTATTAACAGTTCTCTTCCTGAAATTACTTAATTATATCTATAGAAAACTCAGTAAGAAATCCATATCTGCACTATGCAGGTATATGTCACATATTCCTCCTCTGATGCTGAGAAGCTGCAACAGTATGAACCAGGCTTTACTTTAAGCTTTAAATTGAAGTGTTCTTCTATGCTTTACTATATCCATTATATGCATCATACCATTTTTGCCCTGCTACAGGTCCACTGCCAGACAGGCTTGGATGCTTTATATGGTTGTGGCAATGGATTTCTACAACTTTATGATCTTTATAATCTAAGCAGCTGATGGCTTTACCAAGCTCATGCACCTTTCATAGAGCTGTTTAGAAACAGAGGTTTATGTCCCATCTGCCCTAAGCCCCAGATCCATAATGTCCCTCCATGCCTGCAGCTCACAAGTAAGTCACTAAAATTTAGTGTATTTGAGATAAGGCTCAAACCCACCACTGAACCCAGTGTCAACTCTTCTCATCTGCTTAACTCGCATAGGAAGGAAAAACAGTAAGCACAGCAGCAAGGCCACAAGGAAACAATCTGCCTGCAAACATACCCAAAAAGAGAAAGGGGGGGGAAGTGTGCTGACAAAGAGTCTAAGACTCAAAAATGAGGTCTAGATTTGAACATTTCTAAGCAAAACATGCTCATAAAAAACTGCATAGATTAATTTTTGGTGCCTGAGTTGTGCTCTTTGTACAATCAGTTAAAGGCTGACAGTACAAATGATCCTTTTGAGATGCCTACAGCCTTTCTCTTACTCAAAAGTAATGGGTACATGTAGACTTTCTGCATTTATTTACACATGTTTTGCTCATGTCTAACGGAGATGAAATCACTAAAGGTAAGTGAAGAATATCCCTTCAGGGCGTTTCCAGCATATTATCGAAGTCTTTCTTCTGACTGGTGAAGAAGGTCATGGAAGGAGAAAGGTTGTTCTGTTCTCTTAGGGCAAGGAAAAAAAACGAGTGACATTAATACACAGCAGCCAAGAAGGAGATGCAAATATCCTGGAAGCTTACTTTTTTGAGCTGCTAAAGCAGACAGTAAAAGTAGCTACAGTGAACCCTGATAAAAAGGGTTTGGGCCTGTGACTTGTTCACTCTTATAACAAGAGCATATGTTTCCTACACAGTAAGTGCTGAAGACCAAGCTTAAAAATAACTAACAAAAAAATCACACCACTAAACTGACAGGAAGTGTAAAAACTTTCCAAATGAGAGACATCAAACCTGGTGAAACACAGTCATATTCCCAGTATGATGCACACAGGTGTACTCAGTATAGCAGCATTGTCATGGGGTAGTTGTAATCTTTATGCTGCAAGGTACATGGAACAGAACAATGGCTTGCTCAGACCCTACAGTGAAGTACTAGCTAAAAACAGAAATACATTTAACTTCCAAAATCAGAAGCAGATAGATACAAATTAAAAGTTTGTTTTGCTCAGAGCATCATACCTATTACTCAGTTTTCTATAGGCTTATCTTTTGGTGATGTCCTGTCCCTTCTTTGCATATGTATCAAGTAAAAAGTTTTCCAACATGGTACAAAACCTATGTACTTTCTATCCAGATTACATCATGCATTCCTAAGAATTTGACATCAGACACACTCTGATCACGATGGGTATTTTTTTTCCTATTGCATACTTAGAAAAATGCATAGCTTCAACTCTGTGTTAAAGGTTTTCCTCGTTCTAAGCTGTTGCTTTTACAAGTTATACTGAACATAACTTCCCTTTACAAGGTAAGCTAGGAAAAGTAAAGCATTGCCTAAATAAGCTCTACTGCACAATGAAGCTTCCAGGGAAAAGCTATGCAGGCTTCTGTGTGTCAGGGGCAATCAACATATTTATTCTGATTATCATGAAGGAACTACACAGCAATAAACTAATTAAGTGCAGAGTTCCCCTTTGGTGTCCAGTTACTGAAACAAAACAAAAGAATAAACTCTCTTTTTCAAATGGAGTTGCTATGTAGCAGCCCTGGCAAGTCATGCTTCAGCCTTAACTAGTGCTGGCATTTGCTGCAGATTAAGCACAGTCAGTTACAACTTTCTTCTCACGTCTCTCACAGGACAGTGTCCTATGAACTGAGAGCTATGAAATAAACCGTATTATGGAATCATTAAGAATTACTAGTGGATTAGTTTTAAATTACATTTTATAATCAGCTAGTGACAGAAGCAAGTCTAAACACACTCAGTCCAAACAACACAACTCTTAAATGAAATTATTATTGAAAGCCAAAAAATAAGTTTTTAGTTATTAAAATATATTTTAAAGTCCAAATTAGTAACAATTAGAGGCTGTTTAAAAATAAATTTTACACAAGTTCAAAGACACCCCTTTCTTAGAAGCAGCAAGATAAACAGGCATCAGACATCTTTGTGTACTGGTGTCATCATTCTTAAAAAATCTGCTCTGTGCACTGGGTCAACTGGAAAAATGTCAGCAGCAGTGTTCTTAACACTCCAGGCTAATATGCTCCCCCCCCCCCCCCTTTCCCCAATTCCTGTAGACAAATTTTCGCTGAAAATTTCCAAAGCAAGAAAAAACCAAACCAACCCAAATTCCTTTCTATTCCTTTTAAATAGACTGTTCAGATGATCCACATTTTAACTAGTCTTCACGCATACCTTGAACAACTGCTGTTATGGTCAGCTTCTCCACAAGACTTCAAAACTCTAATTCATAGGAAGGAAATGAAAAAGCAGATGTGCAAGAAGAACAATTAATACTAAATTTCATTTTTCATTTTTAAAAAAGTTCCAACAATTGAAGGAGTTCTTTTGTTCTCTGTGCCACTATTTCAGATAGCAGGAGATGTTAAGATGATCACCTTATTCTGTGGAGAACAAAGGAGTGAGATCAGTAATGTTAATACAGTGATTACTTAATGAAATACTATAATGGTATATTAATTTAATCAGTTGAATATGATCAGCATAAATAAGGCATTTGCTCTTAAATTTTTCAGCCTACCCAGAATGCAAAATGTAATCTTAGTATTTTGCAAAAATACATGGCTTTTAGCTCATTATTCTATCACAAAGACCAAACATAACAATTTCATTTTAATAATAAAAAATCTTGCTGAGACTTAGCCATTGTAGACACAAAGAAATTTTTAAAAATAAATTGTAGTAGAACTTGAGTGAAAATTCCTTCCAAAATTGCAGTAAATCAACTATTTATAAACCAACCATAGATTAAAGTGATAAGTAAGCAGCTGGCATTTACTGTAAGTGATAAAATGATGACACTCATTTCCATACCATCCATATTTCTTTACTTTAAAATGTACTTTACACATTTTCTACCCTGGTTGATATGATCTGTAGTTACTGGGCGTACTTACAAAATGCTGAAAATTAAAACTGTTGTTAACTGGCTTAGTTTTATGACATGCAACATAGCTTAAAATTGACTGACCATTCAAGGAGGCAGTCCTTTCTAAATATTCTTGTTAAGCTTTCCAGATCTTCATTTTTGAAATGCAGTTCTTCCAGCAGTGTAGTCAGGAACTGTGTATACGTTGGGCTCAGCTGAGTGTTCTTGAAAAGTGGAGTAGTTTGTGACAATCTGGCAAAAAAACCCCAAACCAAAAGCGACTTTTCAGTGACAGATATAGAAAAAGCAAAGCTTGTGAGTTTGAACTGTACTGAAGAAAGGAGTTCATAACGTCACACTTCATTCACTACAGTACATAAGACAATATACAATGACCTGTACCAAAATATTAATTTTTATTAAGATGTAGTGAAACAAACAAAAAAAATCTAATTAGAAAAAATGGGCTAGTAGTTGGTATGACTCTAATCAGTTGCATACTGATGTTATATAATGTAGACAAACAAAATACAGAACAAAGTGCAAAATGTTACATAGTAACACATAAAAAAGGAAAGATATCAGTCTTTATTTTCTTCTTTATCAAAAAGCTCCTCAAATATTGTAAAAGTTGTTCTTTGTATGAGTAAAATATTAAAAAGCTATAAAATTGTATCTTGAAGTAACCAAGAATAATATTTTAACCATAAATTATTAACAGTGCTCCTTGACAGAAGCTGTACTTAATTGGCAAGTCACACACTGTCAAACTCAAAGACATTTAAGAGGGTCACTTACTTGGGTGATTCTCCTCCCATGCTGTATGCCATAAAATGCACAGTATGTCAAGATAGCAAACACATTTTGCTTTAAGCTGAGATTTCTCCAAAAACACAGAAGCCTCTCATAGAGGCATGCTAGATTATTATTAATTTTACTTGATGCACATGAGCACCAGACATCAATTAAATTTTCAAACCAAGGAGCAATCTGAGTGAGTAATAAGAGCAATTTGATTTCTTAGTTTTGACAGTCTGTATCTTAAAGCAGTTTAAATTACACTTCTTACACACTGAACTGGTTAAAAATAGGCTTTAAGAAAGCTGGACAAAACTAGAACAAAGCTAATTTAATCCTGAGAAGTTTTTATATGAGCTACTAAACTTCAGTTTTAAAGCTGATACTATAGCAAAGATTTGCTATAGTGAAACTGTTTTCTTTTTTGGTAACAAAATCAAGTGCTTAAAGTCTTAAAGTACCTGCAGTCTTAGAGTGCTTCAGAAAAATAAGAAGATCAAAGCAGGGAGCGGGGACAAGAGGGAAGAAATTATATTTCTGCATTCAGTCACAAAGTTTAGCTTTAAAATTCAAACAATACTTAGCCTTCCAAATTTTTCTATTTAGCAACAAAATTTTACAGAAAATCTTCCATTTGACCATGGTTTTCTGAACTGCTGAGCAGATGAAATTCATCCAGTTTCCACTGATTTTAAAAATTATAATGAATGGAAGCTAAAAGTAGTTACCAGCTAGGAGAATAAAGTATATATGAGATCAGACAACAGAAATAAATAGGGCATTAGTGCACCTCCCCAAAGTGAATGTTATTTGCCATCTGAAATAATGGAAACTGCAAGGTATGCATTACTGTACATTGCATTTAGTTCCAGAATCAACAAGAACAGCATCAGAAGGCATAATCTTCAAAGGATCCAAACCAAACATGTAGTGCTGCTGCTAAAACACATTCCTCAGTTTGGAAGGAGCCATCATCTACATATATAGTATCTGTATGGAGATGAGGTGAAATGTTGAGCTGTTGGTTTTCATTTGTGCTTTAATTTTATCTGAATCTGTTTTTATCCTTTTTCTTTTTCTCATAACTCTATTGCAAAATATTGCAAAGGCAGTAATAGCTGAATCTACTTCCTAAGCATATTTAAAAAAAATCTTTAATGAACAAAGTCAAGTATTAAAGCTTATGCTGAATATTAAGTAACTTCAACACCAAACGTTGCTGACAAGATCTCTTAACAAGAACTCATATCCCAGCAACAGTTACTTCATCTTGTGTTTAAATAAATTGTGCCATTGACACCATATAGGGAAGAGTTATTCTAGAATATGCTTGTGAAATTATGCACTTTTAATAAGAAATCCAAGGTAGTCTACAGCTTCCTAGAAACTTCCCAGCTCACAAAGCCTTTCAGTGAGTAACAATTGAGATCAGTCTCCCTGCAGTCACTGGTATTAAGACCATCTCCACTTGAAGAAAGCTGCATATAAAAGAAGATTCTTTTAAATTAAGCAAAAATAATGATAGAGCACAAAGCATCTTACAAGACATAATAAATAGAATTCCTTAACACAAAAATAAATTTACAAAAAATTTTTGATTCATAAGTAGACTTTTAATGAGTTAAATTATTTTCCATTTCTTTTTGGATTCCATTTCAGTATGCACATTTAGCTAAATATTTCAACTATCAAACACTGACACTTGGTTAGAAGGACTTGAAGGGATGCTCAAAGTAAGGACATGGTGTGGAAAGAAACAGATTTACTTATGCACAAACTCTGCTATATAAATCCTCCCACAAAAGAGAAGTATTCAGAGTTGGATTTGTGATTCTTGGACTGAGGCCACTAGGTTTTGTATTGTACTTCATGACAGACAGGACTGAGTTGTTTCTTTCCTGGTGAGAAGTGTAACAGTTACTATTTAAACCAGTCAAACAGAGTGCCTCTGCCCAGGCTGACAATCTGGAGGTCACATTTTGGATTATGATGCTTTATCAGCACGGGAGCAGAGGAAGTGCTGATAGAGGATCAGAGTGACCATTTCAGAGTGTTAGTCTGGAGACAAGGATAGTGGAACAAAGACCCGGAGACGCATTATTACTAGTCTTCAATTTGCCCTTCTAAGGATTAAGTAGGTTATATATGAAAAGAGACTGGTGGCATAAACAGTCATGACTTCCTGAGTCCTGGTGCCAGGCAGCTGTCAGATTGCAAAACACTCTTGGCAATGTTGTAGATTTACATGTATTTTTTGATGAATTTTCTTCCTCCTGCCTTGGCCTTAAGAGGATGTTAATAAGGACGTTATTTTTCAAAAAGAGCAGAAAACTTGTGTAGTTTTAAGTAATATTCTAAATCTAAAATCTTTATAACATGAAGCTCACATGCTAAGCAGTCTTTTTTTTTTTTGGAACTGTAGTCTAGTGATATTACGTAGTGTCATGAATTACAAGCATGTCATAACTATCAGACCTGGTTTAAGATACTCTATTTAAAGAGTAGCTATTATAGCCCACATTGAGAAAGAAAAAGGTATTGCTATTGTCAGAGAAACTGTCAGGCATTAAATATTGAGAAACAAAGTTAGAAAAAGAAAAGATGTTTTAACTGTGAATCAACTGTTTTTCCTTACCTGAACTTTGTTTAAAAACTAATTAAGCTACTAATTATCTGATAAGCAGGAGACTAAATCAAAAAGTAATCTGAGAGAGGCACATTAAGTTTCTAGCAATTACTTAAAAATTGCGTCTATATGGGACAATGTGTTAAACACTTATGAATATATGTACAAATACTTTTATCTTGGAAAACTGTGTCCTTTTGGCATTTAAATGATGCTTTAACTTGTCATTTCGAAAGCAGTTATCATCAAGTACTTTTCTACTTTTAAGTGGCTGTTGGAACAGAAGCAGAAGCTTTGTCTGCAAAAGGAGCAAGCACAAATTTCTGGGTTGCACTGACTGGTAGGTTCCATGCTCTAAGTAACACTGGTTCAATATATATTCAGGGTACTGCATAACAGAGCATTAAGGGCTGTGCTCTCATCCTTACATGAAATGCTAACTCAATTAAACCATAATTGTATGCAAATAAGCCAGAACAGTATTTGGAATTAATATCTTCAAGTCATTGAAAGCTGCAACTACCCTATCATGACTAATTCAATTTAATGATATAAGGGATTTCAGTTCAAGGATCATGGAATTGCCTCTAAACTCTGCAGCAGCTTCCAAAGATGTAGAATATAAACACGAAATAGGCTACTCGGGACCACAATAATAACAACTGATTACTGCAACAATGAAACAAACAATATAAATTCTGCTTTTCTCTTACTTCTTTCACATGTTGCAACATTAATGTGGAAAGTCAAATAAGAATAAGAAAAGCTAAAACATTAAGTGATTTTAAAGCAATCACCTACAGAAGCACATAAACAGAAATGTTACTGTCCAAAGTTATACACCCGTGCTTCAAAGGCTTGCCTTCAGCACACCCGTTAAAAGGAAACGTTCATGCTCAGTTAATGGAAAAGTAGTATAGTACATATCAGACTTCATGAAACAGTGTCGTTTCCTGCACACCCACTTACACCATATGGTAAACATGTCTTTGTAAAGTTTAAAAAGTGTTAAAAAAGTCAAATTATATCTCACTGATAAATTTTGTATTTGCTGGCTATTCTGCATATGTTACATGTTCAAGGAGGGGGGGGGGGAAGTGAAATTAATGTGAAGATCAAACTATTATTATCAAGCTATTAAATGACATCTGGTTACCACAAAATATTTACATAGTTTTAGTGCTTCAGCTCAAGACCCAATCTTCCTATGAATTAGTCGCCTTAAAAAAAATTTGACAAATGTATTTAGGAGTTTAACCTCAATTAAAATATTCTTAGAAGTCAGTCACATCATATGGAGTAAATTTCATTAACTGATATGGTAGTGTGCACAACTTGTTTTTAGATCTATGCATACCTTAACCAATACTGCTGAATACATTAGGAAAATATGATGGTGGAGTAATAGTTTTATGTAGTTAAAAGAAATAATTGGCACTTCCTATCCAAATGTGTGAATATCCTTTCCAAAAAAACCCTAATTGTACAGTACCATCCTCCCTTCAGATACTGGAACTCAGGAAAAGTTTTCCAGACTTTTTGTTTAAGATTAATTCTGTGATCCCCTTTGAAAAAAGTTAAATTGTCAAAGCTGCCACTGTGATACCAGCCAGCTCTCCGAAGCAGACACCTGAAAACAGGGGTAAGAACACAACTACCTAAGAGTTGGGATCCTTTCCATTCCCCAAAATTGATGACTTAAAATTACACAAGAACTGTTAAGAATTTGAGCGCACACAAATTTACCGAATATCATGCAAAGCACTTGTATACTCAGCAAGAAAAGCTGTATGTTTATTCTCAAAAGAATAATAAGCTCCTTCTAGAA